TACCATTTATAAAATAAAGCGCATACAAATGGACATGTGGACACATACAAACAAACGTACACACACACACGCAGAGGCATACAGACTCATAAAAGTAAGCATACAAACACACACACACACACGTGTGTCATCACGTCTAAGCCTTTATTTGTATATTTGTATAAACTAACTAATTCACACAATCGCTTTTGCATGTTCATATTTGCATAAACGCTTACAACACACGAATGCAATGCACGTACAAAAACGCAGACTCAAATACGTATGAATGTGTGTCTTCGCGAAAGTTTAAATGTATTTTTGTGCGTGAATGTAATACGTAGTGTGTGGTGTGTGCGTGCGTGAATGGGTCGGAGCCACTTTATTATGTGTACTGAACTTGATTTCAGTGCGATCTCAGTGTACAGATTAAACAGGCTTTAATCTTTTCAATGTTTGCACTCAATCCCTCCTTTCCCTCCTCTCTCTCTCTCTCTCTCTCTCTCTCTCTTTCTTTCTCTCTTTCTATCTCTTTCTCTTTCTTTCTCTCTCTCTCTCTCTCTCTCTCTCTCTCACTCTTTTTGCTTTCTATCTATCTTTTTTATATCTCTGTCTTTTTTTCTTTTTCTCCTGTTTTTGCTATTTTTCTTGTTTTTATGAGTGTATCCATGCATGTGTTTGTGTCTGTGTGTATGCAAGAAGATGAATTGGCATGAATGTACGTGTGCATGTATGTTCATGCATGTGTTTGTTGTGTGTGTATATGAATGTATATATGAATGTTTTGTATATTTTGATATACGTGAAGATTATGTATAATAATTTTCAAATGTATCAGTAATTGTTAAATTGTTACTTAGCCTATAAATCTATAACTGAAAAATAATGAGATAGTTATGATGGAGCTGTGCAATAATTTCGTATTCAAATTATCTCAGATATTTGTTCAGATTTATAAAAATGATTCATTTACACATCTGTGTTTGTATATTTTTTTAAAATTATTTTTATAAAAACTTATAATAATATTTATGTTTCATAATTTTTAAAGGAAACCTTAGATGTGCCGACTCATTAAGCATCGAGCAATTTTCAAACAAAAAAAAAATTAAAATTGATGTTTGTGAAAATATTCCCGTTCACACGATTCGTTGTTTGTTCGCTTCTTTTTCAGTTGGTTTGCACCTGATTTTTTTCATGGTTGTATGAACGTGAGTTCGTTCAAATTTATATACACAACATTATAGGAGTCCCTAAATCAATTCTTTCTCATTGCATTGCATAAAATTTTACACTTACGAAAGTTGTGTAATCTAATTTGTATTGTTCATTTTTAATACCCGAGTTAAGCTGTACTCATGATGAGTAAAAACCTGTGCGTGAATGTACTTGTGGTTGTTTGTTTGTGTGTTTGTTTGTTTGTTTGTGTGCATGTGTGTGTGTGTGAATGTACGTGTGTTTGTTTGTTTGCTCGCGGGTCTATGTGCGTATTTGCGTGTGAATTATTAAAAAAATGTGTTTTAGTCACTAACTTCAAGCGAGTGTATACAAGTATTAATTCATATGTGTATTGTATGCAAATGTATTGGTATTAGTCTCTGTACGCGCGTTTGTATGCTTTCTTGTGTGTTTGCGTATGAACGCAAGAACGACGTGTGAACGGAAACGGAGTGAGGGTGACACAGAAATTTGATTAATTGCGCGTACTAAGATCTGATGGCGGTGCCTTGTGTGTTTGTGTGTGTGTGTGCTTGTATGGGTGAATGTGTGCGTCTGTATTTGTGTCTGTGTACTCGCGTTTATATGTGCTGTGATGTTTGGGAAAAATTATGATGATGGTTTTTGTCGGTGATGATTTTGTTGAGGAGTAGAGTAAATTGTGATTGAGGTTGGAACAACAAACACAACAAACAAATTCATGTTGTATTGGTTAGCACGGGGTGCAATTATAACTAGAAAACCAGATGTGATGAAGACGAAGATGATAACGACGACGATTATGATTATGATGAGTGATGATGGCTGATGATGATGATAATAATGATGACGATGATGATTATCTTGTAAGGTTGCTAATTATAATCCTAATGGCAGGTAATCCTATAGACGACAAAGGTAATAGAGATAAAATCTTAACAGCAACAACAACAAAAATAACAACAACAAAAATAACAACAACAAAATAATAATAATAATGACAACATCAACAACAAAATAATAATAATAAGGATGGCAATAATAACAGTAGCCTGAATCCATCAATCATTCGATAGCCTATAACAAAATAGCAGGTATCATCGTTACTACAAAGATGTATCATCAATAATATGATACACCTTCTTGCTGTATCATTTCTAATTTGTATTAATATTGATATTGATAAAAATAATAATAATAGTAATAATAATAATAATAATAATGTGAACTCTTTTATTTTCCAAAGACAGAGCATAAGTAAAATCAAAATATTGAAAATGAAATAAAATTGAATTTAGTTAAATATACAGTTAGATGAATAAAATAAAATAAAATAAAGATAAAGTGTTAGAGTAATACGGATAATCATCATTGCTCGTCATCTTATGAAAATAAGTAAGTACCATGATGATAAATAGTATAAAAAACTTCACTCATTGTTTCTATTACAGTACAGAGCATATGATGACGAAATTACACTGTTAATCAAGCTAAATCTAAAATAATCGGTCCAAGTTATATCAATTAAAGACATATTAAAAGGATTGTAAAAGCCAATTGGCGATATTTCAAAGGTATTAATTAAAATATTGCAATGCTTAAAGTCATCAATAATATTATCTTTCAAATTACCAATATATATATTCATTTTAAATTGTTTTGATTTTATGAAGTTAGTTTCATGGCAGACAGTCAGTTCAAGTATCTCGATCGTGTCTTTGTTGCGGACAGCAATGTCAGGACGGAGTGATCTGAACAAGTCTGTTATTGGTCGTATCTTTTCCCCTTTCAAATCCGCAAAAATCTCGACACCCGGCCTCGTGTCTACCATGAAATTATCGATAATTATTTTAAAATTTTGTTGTGGCGATCTAAGTATCTGCTCAATGTAGATGATGAGCCACAGTTTGACATGACGTGTTTGTTCGTTTGTGTTGCATTGCAGAGCAAACATGATGCATTTGTAGTTTTGCTCCATCTGAAGAGGTTGGCGTTTGTTGGTAGCTGTTGAATAAGGTATTTTCTGGTGAATTTATAGAGGACCTCTGATAGCTTTACAGTCGACCTGGACCATCGCGTTATCTCGGAGCTATTGATGTACTCTTTTATTGATTTCACAAGGGTACCTCGGCTTTGCAACAGCGAGAGATGATTAAAGTTCGTTTCATAATGCTTCTGTTTTAGAGCATTCATTGCTGGTTTTAATTCAACATTTCCCAGGATCAGGTTGTCAATCTTTCCATAATTGTTGTGAGATTCACTCCACAATGATCTAATTTCTTCATTACTATTTAATTTGAGATAACCACGGAGTTTTAGACGTAACATCTCGGCGTGCTGTTTCAACGATTTTATGTTGAGGCCACCAGTTTTATACGGCAGCGAGCTAACTTCGGCGATGCAACTGCTTATGGGCAGTGATAGCCATTCTCTTACTGTTTCTGTCACAAGGCGGTCCAGTGTGTTTTCTATCAAGGTTAGCGAAATATTGTAGGTGCGTAGTTCAAATGAGATTTGAGTAGGGACAAAGCGCCTAAGAATTTCCAGCTTCCATTGAACAGTTATATCCAGTCCACCAATTTTCCTCAGCATAACCTTAAGCTTATTGTGCAGTTTGTCTTTCTCTCTGGTATCTTTGCCTTCAAAATCGTACATTATTCCTAAGTACGTAAAACCTTCGTTAATATTCACCCGGGGAATTATTTCACCATCTATTGTTAATTGAGGCAAAAACTGCTCATACTTTCCGTCCAGCTTTCTCATCCCAAATGTACAGCATTTGTCAGTTCTCAGCTTCATACCCGTCCATTTGCACCATGTTTGGCTGAGATTGATCAGTCTCTGGGCACTCTCGGAACTGTTAGCAATGATTGCCGAATCGTCGGCAAACTGAAACCAGCCTCTGGATTTTAGATTGGCTGTTGGTCCCCATATGTATCCGCATTGTTGATATTGTTTTGCTTCTAGCATTTTCATTAGAGGATTGAAACAGAGGTTAAAAATCAATGGTGAGCCTGGGTCACCTTGTAGGACCCCCCTTTTTACTTGAATTGGGGAGGTTAGTTTGTTGCACGCCGATACAGTTATCGAGTAATCGGCGTATATTGATCTAATTAGATTGCTGACCTGGTTTGGGATGTGGTGATAACTTAGGATAGATGAAATTAGATCATGGCTAACCTCGTCAAATGCATTTCTTAAATCTAGGAGGGTAACAATGATTGTCCTCTGATGTCTCTTGGCGTCCTTTAGAAGGTGAGATAGTAGTTGCGTGTGTTCAGCTACACGTCAACTTTGGGGTAGAAGCTTTTTTGGATGTTTTTATTAATGAAGTTGTTTGAATCTAAATATTTGTATATTCTATTGTTTACAAATGTTGAGAAAATTTTATAGAATACTGGTTGAAGTGTTATTGGCATGAAATTCGCTGGGTCGTTGGCGTTTCCCTTTTTGTAGATCAGTATGGTCAACCCTTTTCTCCAGCATGTAGGGATCGACGACGTTCTCCAACACTCAACCAGTAATATATGAAGGATTGTGCGAAGTATGGGACATTTTTTGAGAATTATTATTGACATTTGATCTAGAGGACAAGGAGATGCTTTCGACTTGCATTTCTTGATTATTAAGAATATTTCATTGTACGTAGGAGGATTGGTATTGCAGGCAATTGAAGGGATCGTTAGAGGTTCAGTCCAATTTGGAAGGCGATATTTATTGTGAAATGGGTCTTTTAAAATTTTGTTGAAAAATTTGTTAGCTTCTTCGACGCTAAATAGTGGTGACAGAGCGGTTGTCGGATTTAGTAATTTTTCACACTTTGC